GCTCCCGAGTCAAGGTGTCCCTGGTGTCCCGCCGCCCGTCCGTGCGCCGCAGGAGCCTCCGCCGGGAGCCGCGCCGGTGCCGCTTCGGCCCGTACGGCCCGGAGGAGCTGGGCAGCTGCACCCTGCGCTTTGCTGTCTACACCAGGTCACGGAGCCTCCAGGATTCCTTCGTGGGCGAGGTCCTGTTCCCCTGCGCCGAGGCCTCCTGGGACCCCCGCGCCCCCTCCAGCTACTCCTGGGAGCTGGCAAGCACCAAAACCAAGCTCAGCAAGGTCAGCACGGCAGCGTTTGGGCTGAGTTTTGCTTGAGCTCAGAGCCCTGCAACTCCACGGGCAGAGGCAGAGCCTCCTCCAAGCATCACCAGGAACCCCATGGTGTGCCCAGTACAAGTCCGTGGCGGTGCCTCGGTCCGGGCTGTGCACCCCATCCTCAGGGGTGCTAGGGTAGGAGGGGCAGACCATCCTGGCACCATCCCTGCAGTGATGGTGAGCATCAAACCCAGCTTGTCGGGTCACTCCTGCCCAGCCCTGACCTGCTGGGGGACGGGCACGGAGGGGCTGGAAGGGCTGGATGAGGTTACAGGTGGTGGGACTGGATGAGGTCCCAGGTGGAAGGGCTGGATGAGGTCCCAGGTGGTTTCACAGTGTCTCCTGCTCTCTCCTCCCGTTCCAGCACCGCGGTGCCCACACCCTGAGCTGCAGCACCTTCTCCTCGGTCCCCAGACGCCTGGGCCGGCTCCTCCTGCTGCTGCAGCACCAGGCTCAGGCGGGGCGCATCAAGGTGCTGCTGCGCAAGGCAGAGGCGCTGGGCCGGCTCTCCCGCCTGCCGGGAGCCCCAGGTAAGGCACGGGGACCGTGATGTGCCCAGGTGGGCACAGGGAACAGCTCCCCTTCCTTTTGCTTGGCAGATTCCCCTATTCCCTCTCAAACTTCCCTCTTCCAAGCACGGGCAAGGGTTGGAATGAGAGGATCTTTGGGGTTCCTTCCAACCCAAACCATTCTGAGATTCTATGAAAATGAAAACGAAAACGAGCACAGGGAGCCTAATACAGATCTAGGTATCTCCAATATGGCCCTAAAGTGCTTGAAATATATTTATTTATGGCCCAAAATTAGCATGTGGCTTTCTGTCCTGCTGCCCGTCGTCACCTCTGGCTCTCCCCACTCTCTGGGATGTGGGCAGGAATGTGAGCTGAGGATTTTGGAGGTCTCTGCTCTCAAGGAAGGACAGGCAGGTGAAACCTCAGGAGCTCTGTGCTCTCCCCACAGCTCCAGAGAGCCCCACGGGGGTCCTGCAGCCCCCCAAACACCGCCTGGCAGCTGCCAGCCTCCCTCCCTGGCATGTGTCCCTCTCTCCAGGGCTCTGTCTCCATTTCCAGGCCACTACGTCATCGTCCATCTCCACCACGACGGCCACATCATCGACACCAAGGAGACCAAGCCCGCCAGTGGCTACAACCCCGTGTGGAACGCGCCCTTCCTCTTCAGCATCCCCGCCGGGGACATCCAGCAGCAGGAGCTGGCCTTGGAGTTCATTGTCATGCAGGTGAGGTGACCGAGGCCCAGGAGGTGACCTGGCTCAGTGGGCTCAGCCCCGCAGGAGCTGGTTCTCACCACCCACGGGAGGTTTCTGGGGTGGGACAGCTCCTCTCGGGAGAAGGGAAGGCCACCAGCCATGTCTCCCTGCCCTGTGCTGCCCCAGGCTCGGCTCCACACCCGCGGCTCCATGCTGGGCCGTGTCCAGGTGGGGCCAGGTGCCCTTGGGACCGGGATGCCGCACTGGAGGGACATGTGCAGCCAGGCACCGCTGGAGTCGGAGCGTTGGCATTGCATCCAGCCCCCTGCACCCGGCCCTTGATCCTGCGGGAAGGACTCGGGACTGAGCCAGGGGGGCTCCGAGCTGTGGAGAGGGGATGTGGCACCCACACACCAGCGGGGGAGAAGCCCTGGCTCCATCTCTGGGGCTGGAGATCACTGGTGGTCGGCCCATCCTGAACATCTACAGAGGGGACTGAGCCCATCTGAAGTGGGAGAGGAGAGGAGGAGAGGAGCTTTGTCTGCTCTGTCCCCTGTCTGCTCCATCCCCTGTCTGCTCCATCCCCTCTCTGCTCCATCCCCTGTCTGCTCCGTCCTGTCTGCTCCATCCCCTGTCTGCTCCATCCCCTGTCTGCTCCATCCCCTGTCTGCTCCGTCCCCTGTCTGCTCCATCCTCTCTGCTCCATCCCCTGTCTCCATCTGGAATCTCAGCTGTGCAGGAGCCGGGTGGGACAATCACCCAACCGAGATCCCTGTGGCCACCACAGTGGTGGCATCTCCTGCCCTTTCCACCCCGCCTGAGTGGAGCCGCGTGAACACGCCAATGTCACCTGCTGAAAAAGGTGTCCATCGGCATTTCTGATTGAGCGCTGGCCTTAATGAGGGCTCGATAAATAAATAAAGGGTTGGGAATGATCACATGCGTTGAGCTCTCTCTCTCCTGTCCATGGAGCACCACAATGAGGACCGCGGCAGGGTCACCACGGGGAGGAAGGCCGTGGCGAGGGTTGTCACTGTGGGGTAATCACGGTGAGGATGACCACGGTGAGGAAGGCCCCGAGGTGAGGAAGGCCTGCAGCGAGATAAGCCGTGATGAGGAAGACCTCGGTGAGGCAGGTGACGAAGATCGTGCTGAGGGAGAGGCCGGCCCTGGTGAAGGCAGAGTCTGAGGAGGAAGGTCATGGTGAGGAAGGCTGTGTGGGAGGTGAGGATGGCCATGGAGAGGAAGGCTGTAGTGAAGACGGCCCTGAGCACCCCTGCGGGCCGGAGCTCGGGGAGGAAGCCGTGCTGAGGGTGAGGATGGCGGTGAGGAAGGACAGGGTGACAGGGACTGCGGGCACCTAGAGCGCTCCGGCTCCTCCCAGCCCAGTTCAAACCCAGCTCGTCCCTCCAGGGCGGCTTTAGCTCAGTCCCGGCCCCTGCCATCCGTCTGAGGCGGGACTAACCCCGTCCCTCTGAGGCGGGTTTAACCCCGGCCCGTCCCTCTGAGGTGGGATTAACCATGGCCCAGCCCGTCCCTGTGAGGCGGGTTTAACCGTGGCCCGTCCCTGTGAGGCGGGTTTAACCGTGGCCCGTCCCTGTGAGGCGGGTTTAAGGCCGGCCCGTCCCTGTGAGGCGGGTTTAAGGCCGGCCCGTCCCTGTGAG